TTGTTGGCGTTGACTTACTTCCCCTAATAATGTCGGGAAAAGTGAAGAAAATCAACAAAGCACTGGGACAAAGCACCAAGCTAGGATGGATCGTCTCCGGCAAAATAGCTGGATTATCAAGTAACAAGGCAATCAGCGCATCAAAAACGATGTGCCTGGACGTCCCAGAGAACTCTGAGAAGCATCGGAAAATTGGGATGCTATACAGACGGAGACATAGGCAACGAAATAAGAGGAGAAACCAGAGGCAGCAACTGCTAGCTGTCAACTTTGGCCCCCCGCAGAGTGTTCAGGCATGGACATTCAGCATATTCAAGAATCCTAAGCATCCTAAGCATGCTGTCTAAGCACTCAACCACTTGCAGGAATGCAATAGGAATAGATCAAATTACATGCTTATATTCTAAAATTAGACATACGCGCGCAGACCCTTACACACTCAGCACTTGATAAGCTTGACTTAAGAGATGAAATACGCATGAGTGAGGATATTTGAGCTCTAGGTCTGGCGAATAAAGATCATTACAGAACTGAACACCACCACAGTCAAGTGTATTCACAAAAACTAATTAAAAATATTTAGTTTTGAGCAACCTATTTAAGCGCATTATGAAATTTACCAATTAGAAAACTCTCTTTTTTATAGAGAATATCTTTGGCTTATAGTAACCAAAGTTGGCGAATAGACCAACCTATAGAAAGTTATATCTATGCAAGATTACCCAAATTACCCAGAGTGTTTCGATTGACTTTGCAGTGATTGCAAAACCATTAACAAACATATTGCGAATTGTTCCATTTTCAAGCATATGTCCACATAAACTATTATAGATTTGGACGACCCACTAAGTCCTTTTTAAGTACTATACGATGGGGTACTCTCGATAGGTGGCAAGCTCATTACCATGATAATGAAAACTCTGAAAGAAAGCGAATATTTAGACGAAGTTAAAGCAGTGATCAACTTGAATGTGATCAACGCACTTGATTGCGACCAAATAACATTGGCGTATATTCAACATGAATTAGTAAATAATTTGCAGTCCAAAGGGAAGGAAAAAGTTACGACAAGGAAAACAAGCCGCATAGAGACACTGAAGATAATATAAATCAGATCCTTGGAGAGTTTTATTGTTGCCAACAGGACCATGTGCACTGAGTAAAAATATGATGGACATCTGAAGTAACACGTTCTCAGAGAAACACCGATCCCGTCATACCCTGAAGAGATTTTGAACATGACTATATTTTCAACTGAAAAGACACCGTTATTGACATGTTTCGACAATGGTAAAATTTGAAATTGTACAACCAATCGTATCTCATACGTTGTAAAGATCCCTACTTCTTCATATTATGTAAAACTTTCCTAAGATCGCGGCTTTGAGGCGAATTTGAACTATGAGACAATCGCTTTATTTTAAAAAAACAGCTCTGTGCACTTCTTTCAAAATGTCAATTCTCCAGAGTTCTCTGGTAGAAACTAACAAACGCCTCAAACTTGGTAAAAAGTTGACGACACCATTGAGCTAATTTTACACAGTTCGTTCGAAAATAATAGCCATCTATTTACGCATTTAGAGATGCGAGTACTATACATAGAAAGTTAAATGTTCATTTGGAGCCGTTATCCAAAATATAACAAAAATTAAAATTGTATAAAATATTCATACAACTAAATAAATTATAATTCATAATTTGAATTTCGATCAAGTTTTTGTTATCGATAACAATATAGGGACCCACACATACGGACCCACGGTCGGATAGACAAACATAGAGGGCTCAATCGACTGAGCTTGTCGTCCTGATAAAGAATATAAATTTATGGGGTCCCTCTGCCGGTTACATACGTTTTATATCCTGATTTTTATTTTCCAATTTGATCAGGGTATAAAAAACAAAAAACAGATTGCCGGGTGGAATATTTCAGGCAACACAGAATCCGTAAAAAACAATACAAGAGTAGGAATCAAGCAGATCCCTTTGGGCAAAGAGGAAACTGTCTCTTAAGGTTGGGTAGGAGTTCCATAACAAAAAATAAATAAATTTCCTCTTATAGGGCTGTTGGTCCGGCCTTATTCCTACTAACAATGGTAAATGCTGACTCTTCGCATTTCAAATACATACCTGTACCTTCGGTAGTTGATATATTAGGAGTCTTTTGTCTGAGTTAATGATGCACAATAGTCCAACGATAGACGGGTGGAAATTTATATAGACACACAATCAGATAGACTTACTTGTACGAGCATCAATCAAATGTGCTAAATCAAAGACCCTACAAATTTTTACAACAATGATTTGAGTGCTTTTAGAAGTTCCCATAAGTTCATATGTAGACGGGCCATAATTTTCCTGGTATCATACGAATACATAGTATTTCATCTGCAAGATGGCGGCCTGGATGAATGCGACGACGTCGTAGCTCTTACGGACATCGTTGTAGCATAGCATTCTGCTCTACAAAATCCAGCCATCTGAGACTCATTACATATGGCATATGGCATAGCGGCTTCACCGTTACTCAACATAGACAGCCTTAACATAATACTCAGTATACACCTTCATTATAGGATAGCAATCGGAGAAGATAGTTGAAACGCATTGCTGAAACCGATTGCCAGCAATTGATTATGTAACTTAAACTCTACGAAATTGTATGTTTCGAATAGTGTATGTTCAAGCTAACTGGCAGCATTACTATGAGGTTTTTTTAAATATCCAAAGCCATTTATTAACCCAAACTTAATTTGCACACAAACATTATATACATACGTAAATTTTTTATTGAAAAAAACATTCTTAAAAGCATAGAAATTTGTTCATCGATCGCGGCTCAGAGTATATTGTATTCGTGGTGCGAAAAAAAATCCAATGGATGCAATGATGACGAAATCGATTAAAGTTATCTTAGTAAAGAAACTAACTACAAATTAAAATAAAAAAAAAATAAATAAAGACTAGTAAGATTTAAATTGGCGTTTATGTATTGTTCATAGACGAGGACAGAGATGCGAAACAAAGTTATATTCAATGTTCTAAAGGTTAGGAATATGTATGCTTGCAGAAGGAATTTCGGTTGGTCACTTCTATGTAAGCGACATTAAAAGAGATGTCATTGGTCATTAGTGGATTATTCTGAATGAACTCATTGAAATGGGTTAGTGAATACTAATGAGGAAAATGCATTGGCGTATTCTAATATCGTAAAAGCGTTAATGGATTTCAACATTAGACGCCATAGCTGAGTGCATTAGTGTACCTGTGATGATAATAATATTCAAATATGTTAACAAGGGGTGCTAAAATATAAAGTAAAGTTTGTCAAGAAACTCCTTACCCACTGAAAAAATATACAATTTTTAAGTTCAGATGCACAATTTAAATTAAAATTAATAATTTTTTTAACGGTATACTGTTTAACAATATTTATTAAATTAAGAATTTTCTTTAAAAAAAAAACTAAACATGTGTAATAAAATAAGGAACAAAATCATAATTATTCATATATTAAACTGTCAAGAAATTGTTTACACAAACACTTCGATTGATCGTAACTTAAAATAGAAAACAAATTATGTTAATTTTAATAATTATTATGACCACCCTTAGCATTTAATACATGCTGGAGGCGTTGTCTCATAAAATGGACCAACTTTATTTAGTATTCAACAAGGATCTTTTGGCACTCTTCTAGGATAACAGCTTTTAGCTATGTGAAGTTCTTTGGATCCCGTATTCCCACTCTTTTGGATCATTGTCTTGATGGAATTACAAATTTGGCTTCTTTCTATTAATTAAGCCGAAAGCTTTGTGAATTTCACAGTTAAAATTATGTGTTTGCTTTCCAATAGAGTTAACGTCTTGCGCCATACTCTGGATGAACAATTACTTTTGTTTCGTTGCAAAATATGACGCTTTCTCAATATTCTGCCGGCTGAGTTATCATACTCACAACAAAATTAGATCGCCTTTCCACACTTACTAATTTAACGGAACATCCTTGTCAAGTGTCCATACTGATAATTGCGGATTTTTGTCAATCTTCCGCATAAGTGACTATAATCTTTTTTATTTTTACTCCCAGGTGTGCCTTTTTCTTCAAGTTTGCCTTTGTTTTCCGAGCGATTTATAACATTGTAAATTGTTTTCCAAGATATAAAAACTCTTAAACTACTTCTGCAACAGATTTGCCTAACATCAAAGCTTAATATTTTACCAGGCACTTTAAAAATTATAGTTATTCAGATTTAGATGCGTTCTCAACTAAAAATATATAATGCTAAAATAAAGCACCGTTCTTTCTAAGAATTCATTCGAAACAAATTGCAAGACGCAATGTGATGCTCGAAAAATTAGTAATTTTAGTTATTGTTATTTTTTTTTTAAATTAACTCAACAATATTATATTATTTTATTATTTTAATTAATTTGAATTAAAGCCCATTAATTTTTCATCTAATGTCAAAAATTGTATTGGTTTTTTTCAATGTGTAAAGAGCTTTAAAAACTGTATGTGGATTTTGAGCTGAACATCGAAGTGACATCACTCACACTTACAGAGTATCGATTACTAAGTCGTAAGAACGATACACAATACAAAAAAATTGTTGAAGCCAAAACGTAACTCTGACTGCGAAAAAGCTAAAACTAACAAAAAGGAAACCTACTAAACTACATATATAAAAATATCCATGCGTTTCTCAAGTGGACGAATTTTAAATAATTTTTAAGATAAATTTTGTAGCTTCTATTTACATAATCTGTCTCTCCGGCATATCTTAGTGAACTTATCTAACTAACTAATCTGAAAAATGTCGTTTTAAAAGAGAACAGTGCAGCTGGAAAACTGTTTTGAGTACGACTTGTATTATAAACAAAAAACCTCAGAAAAAATTTAGACTGTACCGCTTCCAGTGCTTGTTTTTATTTAAAAGCCACATCTGACTCTAAAATAGCTATATTGGCAACACTGTTGACTAATTCATTTTGTGATGGGCTAGTTCAATTTTAGATTATGTTCTTTGAGTTTCGAACCGTAACTTAATTCATAGTTGAAAAAGTTTTACTGGAGTTATATTTTGAAAGTAGTGCAACACTTAAGGAAACTTAGCATTTATTGCTTAAAGTCGTTGCGCGTAAACATTAATTGAAACGAGCAAGTTTAACCAGTGTCAACAAGCAAAAACAAATAAAACATTATGGTACATTTATATATATATATACCTATATTAATATAATGTTATTTACGATTCAAATTTATTGGTGTTATGAGGTTTATATATATATATATATATATATATATATATATATATATATATATATATATAGTTCTTTCTTTATATTTCGTATACATTTATCTTCCGTTAATAAGTAAGACAAGCGAAACACATTAAATATGACCATACCATATGTACGCTCACTCGTTTTTTGGTTGCTGGGTGCTGCACAAAAGCGCAGCTACGTCATTCAATGTGTTTTTATAGATGCAAGAACCAATTACAGATCGAATATTTTAGACCACATATATACATACAAGCATTTTATAATTTAATTATATAGGAAATTCAACAATTGGAAATATTATGCAAGCAGCTATATGAAGCGACAGATTCAAATATTCGTGCTGATGCTGAAAAGAGACTGGTGTTATTCGTCAATAGCCAGGACGCCTTACCAAAATGCCAGTTATTGTTAGATCGAGCTCATTCCAGTTATGCGCAGCTCCTTGCTGCTTCTACCCTAACAAAACTCATACAAGGAATAACTCTTGGACAACGCATTGATATTCGCAGCTATGCCCTCAATTACTTGGCAACCAGGCTTAATTTGCAACAATTTGTAGTACAAGCGCTTGTAACACTTTTAGCTAAAATTACAAAATATGGATGGTTTGATTCATGCAAGGGAGAATTTATCTTTCAAAACATACTTGAAGATGTGAAAAAGTTTTTACAGGTATGTAAATATTTAATTATTCCATTCCTCTACAAATTTATTTTTTTATTTGCATAGGGCTCAGTAGAGCATTGTACAATTGGCGTGCAAATTCTGTCGCAGCTGGTAACAGAAATGAATTCAATTGTGGAATTAGATGCACACCTGTCATTTTCAAAAAACAGGAAGATAGCTACATCTTACCGAGATCAACAGCTGTACGATACTTTTCTACTCTCCTGTTCCCTTTTGATAAATGCTCGAGATAATAGCAAGAACTTAAACTTTTTGGACGAATCGCAACAGGCGTAAGTTGATTATAAATGTATTAATAAAAATTTCAACTCATTACTACTATTAGTACTCGTACTATTATTACTCGATTCAATTGCAAATAGTTAAGCGGGAAGTTGTGTTTTGTCTAAAATAGGCGCTGGAAGGAAGACGTGAGTCCAACCCACTAAGTATATATAGCGCTGATCAGAAGCACTTATACCTTGAACATTTTCTCAGATGTTTTCTTACTAAAGAATGTTTTTACTGTTTGTCTTGGCCTAAAATGAACAAATGGGAGTATTTTTCTTATAGAATTATCTATGATAATAAATGTATATAATCTAGTGCTTACCACCACATAAGTTATTTTTCTATCCGTAAACAATGATCCAATATGGTGTAAGAGAAGATACGGATACGCCATACCCATAGGAGTATACATATAATTTTTAATCGATGTATTCGATAAGCCTACAGATTTCAAGACTCTAGATTGCAAAGTTTACGGGAGTTAAACATTTTAAAGGTCGCTATAATTTTATTGAAATAAAATGTATACCCAAAACTTAAATTACATATTAAATATATCTTCGTTTATTGGGGCGTATGAAATTGGGTAAAACTGTATCTTCAAATTTATTTCTCACAGATTTGGGACCTCCGCCAAAAAATTCAACAGTTATGTTGCTAGAGATTCCTTCTAAAGATTGATCAAAATGCACAACATCACATACACAGTTGTACAGCTAAAGACTCAAACTCTAACGACTTGATCCTGCATATCTGCATTATTGATTTAGAAAATCATATGTGAATATAATAACTGTGGTGGTGTTCAGTTCTGTAATAATTGTTATTCGTCTGAGCAAGAGTTCTTATACCCTAGCTCATGCGTATTTCGTCTCTTAACCTAAGTGCATTATGTAATGAGTGGAGCTCCAAGCGGGAGACATACTATGCTCTCCGCTATGTAGCTTCATATATATTGCTTGTATATACTTATATGCATATGGCATAAACATTAGGCAAGTGGCATAGACCTTAGGCAAAGTGCGTACGCGGCATCTCCCGCGCTGCTGTGGTCTGACCATAAGTGGCTGATCATATTACATTTGCTTATCTTTGCGCTCGCCCTATGTTTATGCGTAGGGACAAATGTCACTATATGCGTATTTAGTATACACTATCATATGTTAGGCATATGATGCATCTATATGCAGAATACTCTACATCGCTTCGGGTATTATGAATACGTTATTAAATATACTACAGTATGTTCATGCCTGAACATTCTGCGGGGGGCCAAATGTGACAGCTAGCAGTGGCTGCCTCTGGTTTCGCTTCTTAATCCATGGCCTGCGTCTCCGTCTGTATAGCAACCCGATTTTTCGATGCTTCCCAGAGTTCTCTGGGACGTCCAGGCACATCGTTGTTGATGCGCTGATTACCTTGTTGGTTGATAATCCAGATATATTGCCAGAAACAATCCATCCAAGTTCGGTCTTTTGTCCCAGAGTTTTGTTGATTTTCTTTACTTTTCCCAACATTATTAAGGGAAGTAAATCCACGCCAATGACAATGTCAATTCGACTGGGCTCGTTAAAACGTGGGTCAGCTAGCTCGCAGCCATTCCAATCCTTATTGACATCCATGTCAATTTTCTTGGTCGGAAGAGCTCTCTGAAGTTTTGTCATAACAATTGCCTGCGTAGTGGTGATGAATTTGCTTTTAAACCGGGGTTTGATTGTTAAGCAAACACTATTCTTAAGAATTTCTACATTTTGCGAAATTCCTTGAACTTCCACGTTCCGTTTAGTTCGGCGCAGTTTTAACTGTTGTGCAGCTTCTTCAGATATTAGGGATTTTTGCGAGCCTCCATCTATAAGGGCCCTTAGCTGCTCGTATTTCCAGACTTATTTTTAATCTGGATGAGCGCTGTCGCCAGCAACGTATCTTGTCCTTTATTTTCATTTAGACAGTTGCTGCTGACGGTCTCTTTATTATTTGCATCTTCGTGAAGCAAATAGTTGTGCGCTTTGGTGCATTGATTGCAAGTCCAATTCTTTTTGCAATCTTTAACGCTGTGGCTGCCTAGACATCTGTAGCAAAGCGAGTTTTTGAATACAAACTCCTTGCGTTTTTTAACCGGCTCAGCTCTAAATTTCTGACACCTGGTTATTTCATGTCCAGTCAATTGGCAAAAACGGCATCTATCGTGGCTCGTTGTCTTTGCTTCCCTTGACTTATGGGCGCCGCTTTTTGCACTGAGTCTATTGAGTTATACAGTTGCTCAATAAACTCTAGTACATCGTCCAAAGACTGAATTTCTCTGGCCTTCTTTACGTGTTTATCGTAGAGTTGTAGGACTTCCGTAGAGAATCATCGCAACAGAATTTGAGCAAATAGAACGTCAGCTTCATTACCAAATTGACCCTTTTCTTTGATAATGAAAATGCATTCTGTTGCTGTGTCCAAGAACTTGCGGATACTGCCTTCATCATTGTTCTTCAGCAGTTCCATGTCCACTAGCTGGTTGACGGCGTTAGCAAATATTTTGCGCTTATTTTCGTAGCTCTTGCATATTAGTTCCCAAGCTGAGTTGTAGTTAGCAGACGAGCACATTAATAAATGGCCTACGACCATTTTGGCTTCTCCCTCAAGGCATGACTTCAGGTGTCGCTGATATCTCTCCTGTTGTGAATCAAGGATGAATAAGGATTCTTTCCTGGCTGCTGATCTAAAGATTGGCATACACTTCTTGCATGTGTTGCCTTACTTTTAAAGCTCGTCTGTCCACAAGGTCTACCATCACATCCATTGGGCTCAAGCTCCTTTGGGTAAATATTATTTCCTGCTGCCTGTGCTGTGTCTTGGATGTTTCTGGTGGGATGGATGCTGTTTGGTCGGTGTCTATGGCGTGGTTGGCAACTTCGACTTTCATCAGAGATTCTTCGTAGTTCCTGATGTTTTCCATTTTGCCACCCTATATTTTCTCCTTAAAATATTGATGATCAACGATACCGATTTTGATCAGCGTTAGGTGATTGGTAGTGAACTTTTCTGCCAATTTAGCAATGACTGATAACGCATCCTTGTTCGTGATGCTCTGCCAGATCTTGTCATAGATCTCTGATTGCTTTATGAGCAACTCAAGAGTTTTTGCCGACAGCATTTTGGTTGTGTTTTTTCGTGTGAAAATTTGATCTTAATTTACCCTTTGGCTTGAATCGTTGGAGGTGTTTTTGTTTTGATCGCCTGGTTGATCATGCTGTGCCTCTACTCACAGCTTGAATTGGCAAGCCAAAAAGGTATTTTATATTGTTATGTATTGTTATTACGTCTATTTTCCTTTCTCGATCATCGCAGTGATCTTCCTACCTATTCGTTGTACGGCTTTATGGGCCACACTACTATCGGGCAGAAAAGCTTGGCAAACACTTCTTGAATGTATTTCCTTACTTACACATCCATTGAGCTAAAGCTTCTTTAAGAAGATAATCTTTTCTGCTGTCTATGTTGTGTCTTGGATGTGTTTGGTTGGACTTCGACTTTCGCCAGTCACTCTTCATAGCTTCTAATGTTTTCCATCATATATTTTCTCCTTAAAATATTAATGGCCGACGACACCGATTTGGATCAGCTGTAGGTGATTGGCAGTAAATTCTGCTGCCAATTTATTAACGACTGATAACGCATCCTTGTTCCTGATGCTCTACCGGATCTTGTCATAAATATGTGGTTGCTTTTTGAGCAACTCAAGAGCTTTTGTTCTTGATTTTATCTTTGGCTTCACCCGTTGGAGGTGTTTTTGTTTTGATCGCCTGGTTGATCGTGTTATGCCTCTACACACAGCTAGAATTGGTAAACCAAAGAAAATTATTTTAACAATTTATCACTTCACTTTTACACTTATCACAAAACGTAGCTTTGTAGGCTGAATCGAAGGACCAATGTGAATACTTGATTATGATGTTATTTAGTTTTGTATTATCCGGCTTGAAGGACGAATGTGAATACACTTGACTGTGGTGGCGTTCAGTTATGTAATGATCTTTACTCGTCTGAGCTAGATTTCTTATACCCTGAGTCATGTGTATTTCATCCCTTAAATCTAGCTTATCTATTGCTAAGTTTATAATGCTCAGCGTTGTTCTAATTTCGACAATTCGACAAATGTATTATCTATTTACATTGCACTACCTGCTAGTCGTTGAATGCATAGACCGCATACAGTCCCGTTTATTTTAAATATACATGCCTGAATGGTAAATATTTAATAAAACTTGCAACACAGGGATTACGTTTTCGGGTACCGAAATATCAAGAAGCTCAAGAAGCTGTTTATTAAAGTTTGGACATATATCCGAAAGCAGTAACGCAGAAATATATCATAATGTTTCGTTAGCAGAACATCAGCTTAGGATACTTAAGTCTAGGCATCAGTCGTAAAAGTTATTATTATTAATGATTCAACCGACATATTTTTATTGGGTCTTAGAGACCATTACTTTGACCGCCCTGACGCACTAGAAGAAATTTCACATTTTTCACATGTCATCATTATCATATCATCAATCATCATACAGAATTAGTTATCACTGAAATTATTTGTAGCAATCCTTGGCAACATAATTGTTAAGATGATAGTGGGCTACAAAATGCTTTTGATAAGGTAGTTCAACAAGAGAATGAAGAGACTATAGAAAATCTAATCGTAGACTATCTATGTAGCGTATTGCGATTGCCAGAAACTTATCCCAAATGAAATATCTTAAGTATTAAAAAGTAAGGAAAATGCTGGCTCAGAAATAAATAATGTGTGGATATTAAATCTTTCAGCTTTACCTTCGCCTGGCAAATATTGCAAGTCCTATTTGCTGATTTCCCATTTTCAATGGGATCAGGGTATAAAAACGTATTTTAACCATATATTGCAAAATGCCACAAACCAGACAGTATGGTCTTATGAATTTGTTGGAAGTGGTGAAGGTGTTGAAGAAAGCTATCTTATTTTTATATCCTGATTCCATTTAAACTGGGAAATCAGGGTATAATGGTTATACCAATGTCTATGTATATTTCCTACAACTTTGTTTGATTTTGGATACCGGCTCCAAATTTTCCAAAATTCCTTAAATTTCAGTTGGAAATAAGACCAATATGTGATGAAGTTTACATTTCTACTAAACCAATAAAGTATATAAAATTTCAGTACAATTCATTAAGTAGAACTGAAAATATTAAATAGAACATGTGGCCAATTTGCAAAAGCACATGTCAAGCGTACGCATTTTTCCTATTCTTTTCTATTCAAAGAATCGAAATTGCTATTGAATTGGGCTTGAAGTATAAGGTGTTACTTACAAAAACAAGCAGCAAAGTGTCGGTGGTGGTGGAAACGGCGCTTGGTGTCGACAAGTCCTGGGTTTGATGCCAAGCGGCGAACGGAGGTTTTTCATTATTATTTTTTATTTTTAAAATTATGAAGTGGCGGTGTTGGTAGAGTTGATGCGCGTTACGTGGGCACTGTTGGTTTATTATTGGTTATTTTTTTTAATGCTCGATACATGCAATGAAATATATTTAAAAGCGCAGATAGGTCTGGGTTTAGGGTATGTCCTAGTTGGGCATTCCAACTAGAGCTTTCTTACTTTTTTCTATTTATCAACCAATATCATTAATGTACAATAAAACGTCTGGAAGTCATCCAACTTTTACTATTTTACTCTGTCTCGCAAATCTAAAGCTGCATTTGCTTACGCTTCAAAAAATCAAACGAGTAAATTGTAAACACAATTCAACAGATTGGATAATCTTAAAATAATTATTAATTAAATTTCAATGATTAGTATTAGTATTAGTAGTATTTCTGTAAGTTTTTCGGAGATTGACGATTTCAGGTGATCACTGAACTTTCCATACAATTCTAATGAGCCCTACAGTTAAATGTATGCTTCAATGCAATGAGACTTTTGTAAATATTTTAAACTGAAAACAATTTTGCGACGGCGAGAGGACGAGATATAATGCGTTTATTATATTTAGCACCAATGCGTCGACTGTTAACTTCTAATTGCTAATTATTTTGATGTTTTGAAGTACTGCACACAGAATATAAGCAAAGTAGTCCACATATATCTTCGATTGTAGCGTGTTTTCATAGCATAACATAGCATGTGGTAGAGAAACAACAGATTCGAGGCTATTTATTATAGGCGAAATTGTACCTAACTATAACTGAACTAAGGCTCAAAAATGCTAGGTCAAAAAATTAAATTACAATTGCGGACTGTAAAAATACTACCTACTATCAGATTATTATACTGACAGCATTCACTCAAAACCATTCGATGGACATTCTTTGTATTATAACAAATTCTGCATTATTTAGGTTTTTCAGCAATACTCATAATTTGTGTTTGAGCAGGTTCAATACATCTAAAAGCATTTAAGTAATCTGAATGAGAAAAGCTTAGGATGATTGTCTGCTTTTTAAATGGTTTCCATAATAATTGGGCGTTTTCAAATTTATACAGTGAGGATATTACCGCTAGGATATAATACATCATTTATAGTTATTTAAATGGTATTACCTCAAGTGTTCAGGATAGAGTCTAATTGTGTAAATAATTTAAAATATAAGTAAATAAGTATTTAGTTATAGTTATTGTTTATAATGGTTATTAATATTAAGGAATATTTTGTATATATAAATAAATTCAATAAAACTTAATTTTATTTCTTTTGGCTCAGGGTTATCTAGTCGACCACCCCTTACTTCCTACTTGTTTATTTTCTGGTATTACTTTGCAAAAGAAAATGAGTTCCGGGAAGTAATGACTTCATAGCCAACGCTTATCCACATAAAAATAATATAGTTTCCCAATTAAAACGTTAGACAATATTAATTTATTTTGCATCTGTCTGTACTGCGCTTATATAGGTTAATAACGCAAGCCTTGCGTCTTACGAGGAACTGCCTTAGCTTTGACTTTATTGGTAGCTCCACCGACGAGTCAGCAGATGATATGAATAATGTCCAGGTAAGTTACTTTTTTAAATTTTATAATTCAAATTTGATTAATGTCCCTTAACTCACAGATACCAACAGCTTGGCGCCCTGCATTTTTAGACACAAATACATTAACATTATTTTTTGATTTATATCAAATTTTGCCGAATGGCTTAGCCAGTTACTCATTGTCGTGCCTAGTACAAATGACATCTGTACGTCGATCTCTATTTAGTAACTCAGAAAGAACGAAATTTCTCACGAACTTGGTAGAAGGAGTCAGAAATATACTCACAAACTTGCATGTAGGTCCGTGACATCTATATATTTTAATATCACCGCCAAAAATGTATTCACTTTCAGGGTCTAAGCGATCCAGATAATTATCATGAATTTTGTCGATTGCTAGCACGTTTGAAATCTAATTATCAATTGGGGGAACTCATAGCCGTTCCTTGTTATCCGGAAGCGATAGAATTGATAGCGAAATTTACCGTACAATCTTTACATGTGAGTATATATTGGGTTATAAGTTTAAAAAAAATGGACATTGTTCACGTTCGCAGATGTGGCTCTTTGCCCCAAATAGTGTTCACTATTTACTTACGTTATGGCAGCGTATGGTCGCATCAGTACCATACGTCAAATCGCCAGATCCGCATTTACTTGGCACGTACACACCTGAAGTTATTAAGGCCTACATTGAGTCCCGTCTAGATGCTGTAGCGCTGATTGTACGTGATAATATGGAGGATCCATTGGACGATCTTTGTATGGTGCAACAGCAGCTTGAGCAATTATCGGTAATTGAGCGCTGCGAATATAATAAGACTTGCAACCTTCTTGTGCAGCATTTCGACCAAAAGGCAAGAGAATACGAAAATCTTTTACAGACGCTTAACTCAAGCCCAATTGATATTACTATTCATGAGCTACAACTGACATGGTTGGTTTATATAATTGGTTCGGCTATTGTGGGAAGACTTTCTGTGACCACCAGTGATGAACACGATACTATGGATGCGGAGCTTGTTATTCGTGTACTGCAGCTAATGCGCTTAACTGATTCACGTCTACCTCAAACTGGTTGTGAAAAGCTAGAATTGGCCATTTTAAGCTTTTTAGACCAGGTTCGTAAAATGCATAGCAGTGACCAGGCTCAGAAGGCAACTGTTTATAAGCGTCTGAATGAAGTATTTGGACTAAATGATGAGCAAATGTTGCTTAGTTTTATCAATCGTAAAATGTATGTATTTTCTGTTAATTTGGTTTTAAATAGCTAACCCTTACTTTTTACAGTATAACTAACCTAAAATTTTGGGGTCGCTCTGAGCAAATAATTACAAAAACTTTAGTGTTACTATCCGATCTCTCTGTGCATTTTAATTCAGTGCGAAAATTGGCCCGCCTAGAAGAAGTACAGTTTATGTTAACTCATCACACAAGCGAACATTTTCCCTTTCTTGGTACGAGCTCTTCTCTGAACGAAATGCGGTGCCGTACAATGTTTTACACTTCTTTAAGTCGGTTATTAATGTTTGATTTGGGAGAAGATGAAGAGCGTTTCTATAATTTTCTCACTCCCCTAACAAGTAAGTCGATTTCAATGAATTATTAATTACCAAGAATACATTACATTATCTATCTTCTTAGATCAGTTTGAATCCCTTGGAAATGTATTAATGGACACAAAATGCTTTCCTAATGATGAGGTCAAGAAAGCAATTATTGGACTTGCTCGAGACTTGCGTGGTCTAGCGTTGCCGCTTAATGCTCGCATTCAATATACAATGCTTTTTGAATGGCTGTGCGTGTATTATAATATTTATTTTATCTTTACTAGCTTATGACATTTTATTGCTTGTAGTTACTATACAGATTACATCCCTATATTGCTTCGTGCTGTAGAACTGTGGGCACATGAACCTGCCATCACCACGCCTGTGTTAAAGCTATTTGCAGAATTAGTGCATTGTCGCACCCAGCGTCTAGCTGGAAATGTGTCTAGTCCCATGGGAATTTTACTTTTTCGTGAAGCTTCAAAACTTATTTGCATATATGGCAATCGTATTTTACATCTAGAAGTGACAACTGATCAACTTTACCCAATGAAATTAAAAGGAATATCAATATGTTTTCTTATCTTAAAAAATGCGCTTGGAGGGAACTATGTGAACTGCGGTGTGTTCAAATTATACGGTGATGACACATTACATAATGTGCTTGATATTATTGCCCAACTTATTCTTTCAATACGTCAAAGTGATTTATTGGTAAGAATTATCAACGTCAATATCAATAAATGAAAATAATGTATACTCGAAAATCATTAGGAATATCCAAAATTGGCCTCGGCATATTACAATTTATTGAACTGTCTATCTCAAGATCATGTAACATACCTTGCCGCTTTAGAGCCACGAGCATTTGTGTATATATTGGAAAGTTTAAACAAAGGCCTTGCCGCACTAGGTACGTATAATTTTACTCAACAAATATATACATTTACAATTAATACAATTACAATTACAATTAATAATTATCATTATCATTAATTTTTTTAAACTTACAGATTCGGCAATTTACATAAGCTGTTGCACAATTTTAGACAGTATTGTTTCGTACATATTTAAGCAGCTGCAATTAAAAAGTAAATTTAAATATATAAATATATAAATGATTTTTCAAACGTAATTATTATTGCAGTTTCAACATTCCCAAATAAGAAGCTTAGAAGTTTATCACGGGAAAATTCTCAATTTCTTAAGGTGCGTATTTTCTTTATTACTTAATAAAGTTTTGTTTTTGTTACTAATAAACATTAGATAACAAAATAAATATAACAATTATATCAACAGCGTTAATGAAAGAGAAATTGTACTTTCAAATCGTTAAATGAAGGGCTTATAGATGTTTTATAACAAAATCATTAACTATTGTTATGATACGTACTGTCTAGCCATACATACCTACTGAGTTTTATCAAGTCTGTATTTTTCAATATTTAGGTTTACAAATAAGATGTACTATTTAAGAGCTAATAAAAATATAACAAATTTGAAAGCCTATGCCCTGTATTAGGCCATTGCCGCGCACTGCCAAATTTGCGGCGGGACCCAAAACCTACAAAAAAACCAAATCTATAGTGTAATATCTGAAGTTTGATAACGATTTTTATCATTAAATAATATTTAGCGATTGTCGATTATCGACTTACATTACATTACATTACTCTTTTCCAAGCATCTTTCCTGTTGCACATTTCCTCTACTAGTCTCTATTTTTCTTTCACAGACAATTTTTGCCAGGTTGGTCCTTTTTTCTTTTCACTTGTCGTAGTTAAAGAAATTGTGCTCTGCATTGTCCATTCCATTTACGTTGTAAAAATAAAACTGGATTCTGAAATTTTCCCAAATTTATGTGGGTACTTTCTCTCTACTTACATTCTCAAATGCTAACGCTTCAGTTATGAAATTTTCACAGCGTCGTGCTCTGCACTTTATGAATAGTCGTTCCGATATTTGCGGTTCGTTTTTGGCATTGAACCGTTACATGCTCTTTCGATCACTTTTAAACTAATTTCTTCGGTGGTTTGTGTACTGTAAATTTGAAGTTTTCTAATTTGATTATATCCCACGGTTCTGTCTGGTACGTAACTTAAGTTGATCGACGAGCATAACCTTGATTGCATCTAACTTGATTGGGAACGCATTTAGACTAATGATGTTACCGCTGTTTCCGGGCTCTTTCTAACTGACAGCTGCTTTTGCTTATTCGCTTCTCCAGACCTGCTTGAATTGTCAAAGAACTTCCTGAAGTTCGTTTAGGTCGGATACACCACTTTTATTAATTATTTTTTCTGATTCGTCACTGCAGCTCTTATGCATTGGCACGCAATACTAAAAGGTTCTCGACCCTAAAGCGCTATCTTAGCTTAAATGTACCATCCCTCATAGCAATACTCACGGTTGTCTGTGTGTGGCATGAAAATCATGCGAGGGCTGGCGTTGGTCCTTATCGGAGTAAGACTCTCGCAACCCGCTGCTTTTTTCTAATTATTTACGACAAACAAGCAAATGTTGAACAGCTTCTGTGTGGGTATTGTATAAGGGGCCCCATTGTTTCAAAATTCATGAATGTAATGAGGATAATCTCAGTTTTTCATCTTTATTAAATATTAGTTTTTATATTCCCCAATTAACTAGTATGTAATTTTTTGGTAATATATTACTTTTTTAAAGCTGTATATGCCAATGTGATGTAGTATGATTCGTATATGTCGTTGTCGACTAATGTCGGCTAGAGCATATTCTCACTTGTTTACCCATATATAATTTTGAATTATTAAGTTATTGTGTTTTGGAAAGCTAAAGCTTAAGTCTAGCAAACACTATTTTATTATATTGCAATTCATACATTTGTATATTTTATTCAATACTTTCAGGTAGTTGAGCTAAATTCCGAGTTGCTACAGAACATGATGTCCTCATTGTTAAACAATGTATTAGCTGAAGATTGTCGAAATCAATGGTCCATGTCTCGTCCATTATTGGTACTTATATTACTCTACGAAGACTATTATCGGTAAGGAAAACTTAGTCTTTTTCTTGTGGTTGACGTATGCAAACGTATTTTCTGCACCGTCTGTCAAGTTATTACTATGACCAGTGCGTTGGATAGCGTTATTGCTCACTGACAAAAAAAAGCCTCTTTCTTTGGCTACCTCCAACCTTGGAACCAGGAGTTATCCTGCATTATTAACCCTAATGGCCCTTCAATGTGCTCGAGCTGATCCATATTATTCATGTTCCTGCATCCAAGTCTCAAAATTTCCGCCACAAAACCTATTTGACTACAGGACTCTTTTCCAAGCATCTTTGCTATTGCACATTTGCTCTACTATACACTGTACTATAAACACTTTTATTAATTCCGCAAAACAACTAATTTCATAAAAATGTGTTATTTGATAATAATAGAGTTTAACAACGATTTTGTTTTAGATCATTGAAAGAAAGCATTATACGTGGACAACCCGTTGAAAAGCAGCAGACAATGGCCCAGTGGTTTGAAGATTTGATGCTTGGTATTGAGCGCAATGTGTCTAGTAAAAATAAAGAAAAGTAAGAAGCGGAAGATAAATTTGTGTTTAGTAATATTTGATTATTTTTTTATTTTGAACACTATTAAAAAATCAGCTTACCACCTCTCCTCTGTCAATTGTTTTGTGCTAACATATTTTTTATTGGTTAAATTGGGTTTTTTAAACTTTTGTCAATTTTAAGCGGTAAAAAATTACTGAAAGTAATCAATTAACGCTTCACTCAAGTACAAAAATGGCAATAACTTTGCATATTTCTCTTCTAATTAAACAGTATCGAAAATTCAATAATTAAAAAGTATCGAAAATTCAATAAATTTGCGTTGCCTTAAGATTGCTGCGAAATAACCCATTAAGATAATTTAAATAATTGCCAGATCGAGCTATTCATTGCAAATGTTTCCGATTTTATTTTCGAATTTCTATGCAAATATACATATTCTTATGAGTATTTCAACGCGACAGGACGATTTATATTCTTATATTTGAATATTATTAAATTGAGTTAACTTAGTTTTTAGCTTGCGATTACAAAATAGTAGAGGGTAATGTGCGAATAATACGGTAGTGATACAAGGATGTTAGTCCAAGCAGTCTATAATCATAGGGGATATAAGTCCTACACGTACGGCTTACTCAAAAAGGTCAAAATATATTTGATTCCCAAGCTGGAGCTTATAAGACTTAACGTGTCCATATATTAGTCGATTTCGAGGAAATACTTGAATATTAAGAATGTTTTTTTAATTCATAGGTTTACACAGAATTTATCGACATTTCGCAGAGATGTAGCTAACCTACCAAAATCGACAACGTATTCAACAGGTATGTATAGAAGATGAATTAAAGAAAATTCAGTTTACACTAGAAATAAACAGAAAATATATATTCCCCAACGGTTATGTGTAAGTAGAAACAACAACAAAATCGATTGTCCCATGGTTGTCATTATAAACACTTTGATCTCAAAGACCAAAAGTGTTAGGGACTAAATCGGATTTTTAATTTTTAAGAATTTAGCCATATATACATATATATTTAATTTTTACACACATTCGAATACTACCATTTATTCTCAAAATTTTTGTTATTGGGCTTCACATGTATATATAATTAAGGGTGTAATTTATTTTTAAATAAAAAAATTTTAAGCACGATTTGGTTCTTGATTTGTCAGCTGATAAATTTAATTTTATCTTCCCTCGAATATTTAAAGCTAAAAAAATTATCATTGGATGTGCGTTCTTGGTACATTATTCTGAGTTAATATATATATATATATTTCATATTATTTATTAACTTGCTCAATTGATATAAACAAAAACCTTTAAAATCACAAAGTTTTTTTTTTCATACCATAAACGATTACCAAATTTGGTAATGTTTTTATTGATTGGAAGAATTTTTAAATTTAAAAGTTAAGATTTAAGAGAAAGGTTCAATTTTTCAGATGTCTCGCGGGTTATCAATTCTTCTGATATTATACAGTCGAATGTGTCAATATTACGTTCATATCTATCTAGAGCCATATTAAAATGCATTCATTCTGTTCCAATTTTCTTTAAAATCTCAGGTTAGCCGATATAACAATTTTCCTATCCAGAATATTGCTGAGCCATCGAATAAATAAATATGTTACGTAAATGTACTAATTTTTATTAAAATATATTCCTTTCAGAAAATTCGTACCAGGTCTATACTGAAACAAATTACTCAATATCGGTATAAAAAGCGGAACATATTTTCGCCTACTCGTTATACCTGTCAGCAAGCTGTCAAATCACAATTTATGTTCTTATATCTAACAAATAGCACGTAAGCAATAAAAAATATGTAATAATTTATATTTGTAAAAATAGGTATTGAAATAAACCCGCATGAAAAAAATTAATACATTTTTTTAATCTTTGAAAAATTAAAAATTACTTCGAAATCGAAATAGTAATAGCCCTAGATAAACAGTACGTAGAGGGAATATCTAAAACAAACTTTCCACAAAAAATTGTGAGGTAGACCCCACGACTATGCAGCTGCAGTTATGGGAAACTTTAGTACATTTTCGACTTCGTCCTTGGGCTGCTACAGCAGACATAGCTGAAATGTATGGTCAGCGAGTCCCAACGCAATTTTTAGCTTGTGTGGAGAGAAAACCTACTGATGCGTTACAAATTCCATGTTTAAACCCAGTAACGTATGAAACAACTGCCACACCTTTCTAAGCAGCTCGATACTTACAAAAGACGCATTGAGGAGTTGTGTTTGTTTAATCATGACTTAATTCATTACATGTTTGGCTTTCGTCTCTTTAACACATTTGTTGCCAATTGCGTAGCAACCATCTAGGAGTTGACAACCAATGTCTTCTGGCGTCATATCCCAACATGGACAATATACAATCTATTATAGGAATCAACAATCTTGTGTCCGAATTATCAAAAATTAACACTGTTTCTGTACCCACATCAGCATGGCAACCGTGTGTTGTGGTTGCTATGAGTAATAGGTAAGTTATTGGCACCATTAGCACACAATGCTCCTCCTCCTTGCTTTCCAAAAAGGGTCGATTCATCGCGCTTTATTCTCTCTCATTTTCGTTGAAACTCAATGGTTTCGATGGGAGCGGCCCAATTTCGGTTTCACTAGAGATTCGTCGCAAACCTTCTACTAAATTGTATTTTGCCATATATGTATCATTCACTTCGAATTCTGTGCACATAACATTATTTATAGACTTGACTTATATTTCTAATGAGCTTTGGAATGCCAAGGGTGGTACAGTTAGATACTCCAGGGAGTCTTCGATAAATTTGCATCGGTTTTGTCGTTCATAGCACGATTATACGATCATTTAGGTTCATTAAAATTACTTGTAACCCGTGCAAAGGTAGGTACTCCTGGTTACACTATCTTGGTTTGTACAACTAATTACCAATTATCCAAATGACGCAAGGGGCAGTAACTAACTAATAGTCAACTTTGATTGATTTGCTGATGCTTCCACGACAGCTTACGATTGCTCTTTCTATGTAACGTAATTGTAACACGATCAGTTTGCTAGTCGCCAACTCTAAGGTAGCACCGTTAAAACAAAATCAGTACCATAGAACTGTGTGTTGCGGAATTGCTAGCTGCCATGTTTTGGTTGCTAAATAAATCAAGAAGTGTTTTGGTCAAATTCGGATGTTGATCTTCATTGCTTTCAAATAAGTTCTTTGAATTTGAACACATATGTTGCTTTATTCTCTCTCATTTTCGTGCCAACCCAATGGTCTTGATCGGACTGCTTCGTCAATGTTCGTGCATTTTTTTCGCTATAAGCCGAAAATTTTATCTCAAATTATGGGTGATATTCCCGGTATCCGTTTACACTAAAATAGGCCAATTGAGATCAGCGGACTGGATTTCTGTAGTCAAATTTTGGTTTCACTAGGGATTCGTCGATCAGCTCACGTCGAAGGCTATGCACATAAAATTAGTTACAGACTTGAGCTTATCCATGTTCGTTGGTCCCAGCATCAATCCAATCGACAGCGAAGTACTTACGCCAGTGCATCTGCTCATCGGGACAGCATTCGCGCCGTTGCCACTCGCGTCATCGTAGCCAGTCGACGACGTCAAGCTAACAAGCTTGAGAAGATGGCAGCTCATCTGAAAAATCAAGGGCAATTCTGGACATCCTGGTCATACCTATACCTGCTCAGTCTCCAGCAGAAGGCAAAAAGGACCAAAAAGAGGAAAGCTATTAGTGTCGGAGCATGGATTCATTAAAATGTTTCCGATTTTATTTTCGAATGTGTATATAAATATTCTTATTAGTATCTTAATATAATGGAACAATTTATATTCTTATATTTGAATATTATTAAATTGAATTAACTTAACTTTTAGCTTGTCATTACAAAATAGTAGAGGGTAATGTGCGAATAATACGGTAGTGATACTTGGTAGTGATAAGATGCTGGTCTAAGCAGCCTATATTCATAGGGAATATAAGTCCTACACGTACGGCTTAGTCAAAAAGGCTTAAATATTTTGGATTTCCATGTTGGAGCTTGTAAGATTTCGATTTCGAGGAAATACTTGAATATTAAGAATGTTTTTTAATTCATAGGCTTATCGACATTTTGCCGGGATGTAGCTAACCTACCAAAAGCGACAACGTATTCAACAGGTATGTATAGAACATGGATTAAAGAAAATACAGTTTTCACTAGAAATATACAAAAATTATATATTCTCCAACGACTATGTGTAAGTAGGAACATAAACCAAATCGATTGTTCCATAGTTGTTAGGGTTGTCGACGGCCAATGGTCACTCTAATACGCTCCGGTGCATCTGCTCATTGGGAGCAATGCAGCCAGTCGATGACGTTAAGCTAACATGCTTGACAATATTTAGCAGTGAATGCTGGGCGTAGTGACCAAAGTGGTCACCGGCGGGGTTGGTAAGTTGCGACAAGTAGTCATAAAGACTAAATCTGGCACATATAAGCGATGAATTCATCATGTTGCACCCCTACCTGAGACAAGACTGCACTCGTTGCCCGTTTGGGCTAAACATTTCCTACCGTTCATTATATTATAAATCAAAATGGATAAAAAGCTTTCTTCTAACACTCAGCTTAGAAACAAGCCGATTGATTATGAAAGAATGTACCAAATAGCTGGTAAAACTCCCTTGGAGCTAAGGACTGAGTTTAATAATAACCAACGCCTATCACGTGCTGACGCTCAGAACCTCAGCACGACAACAACAACCACTGCAACTGCTGCAATCTGCAGCGCGATCCCTAGCGGAAGCATGGCTAGTCAACTGCCTCCTCAAAAATTGACGCTCCAAAGCTCACTGGAGCTGCTACAAAACTGGCGGAGGCCCAAAAAATGCTGAAAACTAAGAGGAAGAAACCTCTTTCTCCCCATAATAGTTGTAAAAGAGCAAACAGACATATGGTCTCACACTCCGCCTCAACTAACATGGCAAAATCCACCAACAGATTTGCTTTCTAGACACGGAAATGGAGGTAACTTCCGAAAGCGATGATGATGTAAATTCCAAAAGCACAAGAGCACGCCCAACGTCTGATGCAACTGATGCAGTCAACAACCCTCAACATGAGGAACCGAGCAATAACAAACAGCCTATCCGCTCACCAAAGCCACCGCAATTGTTTAGTGAAGTCACTAGTATTGACAACGTGGCAGTCAAAGTCAACCAAGGAGTTACGGCAAGAATATTTCCAAAAGACAGCGACACTTACAGAGCTATTGTAAGTCATTTTGATACAATAGGAATTGAGTTCCATACATATCAGCTGAAGGATGAAAAACCTTACAGAATTGTGGTAAGGGGGCTTCACCATAGCACTTTGAACAAAGAAATAATTGCCAGTTTTAAAAAATATGGTTTTGATGCTCTGCAAGTACACAACCCAAGATCAAGGACAAACAGGGATGAAAAACTAAATATATTCTTTATAAATATCAAATCATGCAACAAAATTAATGAAGTATACAATATAAAAACACTTTGCCGCCAAATGGTGAGAGTAGAAAGGAATCGCAAAAGTTCTGAAATCGTCATATGTACACGTTGCCAGGAATATGTACATACAGCCAAATACTGCCGCCGACATCCTAACTGTGCGCGTTGTGGCGGGGACCATTCCACAAACCTATGCACACGTTCAAAAGATGAATCGCCTACCTGCATTCCCTGTGGAGGTAGCCACATGGCAAGCTACAAAGGTTGCCAGTGGTACCAGGAGTTCTATAAATGATCAATGGGCTCTTCAATGATCAAGAAGAAGCAAGCAAGGACGTAACAGCCACAACAAAAACAACAACCAGCTCGCCAGCAACCGCAACAGCTTCCTAATACTTCCAGAATCGGAACAGGTGGATTATCCTATGCCTCGGTAGCAAGAAGTGGAAATGCATCTGTTCAGAGTCGCATACATAACATTCAAGCGCAAGTCCAGATAGCTAAACCTACTGGAAATAACTCACAGCAGCAGCACCTACTTGACGTCCAATCTCTATTGGAACAACAACAGTTTTTGAAATGGCAACAAGAGCTGCAAGTGCAGCAGCAGCAACAATTTCTCTTGTGGCTTCAGGCGCAACAACGTGAACAACAACAACAAAACAAGAAAAACAGCGAACGTCTAGAACGGCACGAAAAAATGGTCTACGATATGGCCAGCATGCTAAGGCAATGGACTGGGGATTCATCGACTCACCAGCTTCATAACAACGCCTCTGACTCATAATGAACTCACTAAAGATTCTCATATGGAATGTCAATGGCATTGCAGGAAAAGCCAGAGATGTGGAACTATTTGCGCACAACAACAACGTCGACATTCTATTATTAAATGAGATCAGACTGAATCGCGGAGATACAATCAAAATTTATGGTTATACCTTTTATCCGGCTTACAAACCTTCAAGTCACAAACATGGTATGGGAGGAGCGGCTATATTCATTAGAAGTTCTCTCCGCCACTTCCCACAAAGGGTTATTGAAACTCCAAACATACAAATGTCTGCAATCAAAGTTACCACAGGATTGGGAGACATTGAATTTTGCGCCATATACTGTCCACCAAGGAACAGAATAGAAGAAAGGCAATTCAGTGACATACTCGCTTCTAGCGGCCAAAGGTATCTTATTGGTGGTGACTGGAATGCGCGACATTGGCTGTGGGGAGATACCTATAATTCACCCAGGGAACTAGCAGAAGCCATCACAGCCAGAGGCTCTAATATTCTTGCAACAGGATCACCAACTAGATACCCATATATATCCAGTCACACACCCTCTTGTATTGATTTTGCATTATACCATGGGATACAGGATCACCTAACAAATATCTACGAAAACTGGGACTTAGATTCTGACCATTTAGCCCTCATCGCTGAGCTGCACATTGATGGTTCTAATATCAGGCCAAGCCCAAGGCTAATAAACAACCGTACTGACATCACGGCTTTCAGACAACTGTCAACTCAATTCAATTAAATTCGTGTCTGAGCTCTGGTGAAGACATCGAGAACGCGGTTGATCTTCTTTCGGAGAACATATATAGAGCTGCTGCTGCTACAACGCCGCTTAATCCTGCGACTCGTCCTAATTACGGTATTGTATTAACTAGAGAGGCCAAAGAGCTTATCAGAACAAAAAGGCGCCTTCGGAGAAGAGCAATTCGATCACAAGATCCTTGGGACCGAATTTTGTGGAACCGTGCAGCAAGACAGCTACGTAACCTTTTAAGGGAGCTCAGAGGTGATTTTTTCGAGCAAAAACTGGCTTCCATGGACTACACAATAGATGCAAACTACTCTCTATGGAAATGCACAAAATCGCTCAAAGGACAACCATTTAGACAGGTACCTGTCCGATGCCCCAGTGGCGAACTTGCTAAATGCGAATTGGAACAGGCTAACGCATTCGGATACCATCTAGAGGATCGTTTTACTCCGTTTAATTATGCTACGATTGAGCAGACCATGGAAACATATCTCAATTTGGAGACCCCATTGCAGATGTCCCTGCCTATTCAGCCTATAAGCATCGAAGAAATAACTGAAGCGATCCAACTATTGCCGAACATCAAAGCTCCTGGAATAGACAAGATTTGCAATGCTATGCAGAAGGCTTTGCCTACTAGAGCGCTGCTTTATATTAAACTAATTTTTAATGCCATCATCAGGCTCCAAGTGTTCCCAAGGCAATGGAAATGCGATCTTAAATCTAATATCTTACCGGATCACCAATTTGGAGTTCGGGAGAGACACGGCACAGTGGAACAAGTCCACTGATAGGTGAAACGCATCCTGCAGGCTTTTGGTGACTCAGAATACTCTAACGCTGTCTTTATTGACATGCAGCAAGCGTTTGACAAGGTGTGGTACGATGGATTGCTGTACAAAATAAAAAACCTTCTACCTGCCCCGTACTATGGCCTCTTAAAATCTTATCTAGAAGACCGTGAGTTTAAAGTCAAGGTAAAGGATATACTTTTGTCCACATATTCTATGAGAGCAGATGTGCCGCAGGGCAGTGTTCTTGGTCTCGCTGATTGGTGCATACGATGGAATCTAAAAGTCAACCCGCTGCCAATGCATACTCCCCCAATCCATCTGGCGGGAATAACACTACAGCAACCAGCACAGGCGAAATATCTTGGAATCACACTGGACAGGTGTCTCACCTTTGGGCCGCACCTCAAAGCTGCGGTGAAAAAATGTCGTCACAGACTGCAACAACTGCGATGGCTCAACAATAAAAGGAGCACCTTGCCACTGAGATGCAAAAGAGCTGTCTACGTGCAGTGTATCCTACCGATATGGCTCTATGGAGTGCAAATCTGGGGAATTGCTGCCAAATCCAATTACAAGCGGGTTCAGGTATTGCAGAACCGAGTACTACGACATATAACCAACCCTCCCTGGTATATACGCGGCTCAATACTCCACAGAGACCTCAAGCGAAGAGCAGATTGGAAGACACACAAGCAGCCTACTTACAAGAGGTCTAATCTCTGTCAGACCCCTAAGACGACTTAAACGGCAAGGCTTTGCCGCTTTCTTTTAATTCATCATTACTCATGGCATATGTCGCATTATATATATTATAGTATTAGTATTTGCAGGACGTTGTAATATGAAATTATGCCTCTTTTCTTAAATCCTAACATGATATAACACAGAATTATTTTTTTAAACTGAGAATACTCAGCTTACGAAACGGGCAAACTTGCTACACTATCTGAAGTAATCGACGATATTATATATAAAAGTTCAAGCTGTGGCGAAGTAGGGAAAGGGGCATGTTGATGTTTAAAGTGCTAGAAATTTAAAATTTGAAATATATATAAGCGTTGGCAACACTAGATCAGAACAGTTGAGATAGATCTAGTCGGCGATACTCTGAACCCTGACCAATTAGTGTTTTTAAATAAATTCCAACATCGCATAAGCTTATAAACAAATTTCGACTAAAATAAGAGAACAACAGTCAGTGAGTAGCAAATCTGAACTCAACTGCTGCTTCGACAAGTACACACATATGGAATGTATTTAGCATTAATATGTATGCATTACAGTTTTCCGGTCAATGAATAGAAAAATTATTTATCAACGTATTTTGATAACATTTTGGAAGCAGATGTACATCGCCGGCGTTAATTGAGTGTGTTTATATGAATATATATGCGCTGAAAAGTATGCAGCATATATAGCCCAAAATCTGACACCCCCAGTAAATAACTTTTCATGTTTTATAAATGATTTATTGTCTCTGCATTTATATAACTATTTAACATGGATCTTCTTTTTTATGTAGCGGATGATTAAGCAAACCTATTGCTTAAGGATTAAATTGCAAATTGCTGCTTTTTCCGTCTGCCATCACAAATTTCAAAGTGTTCTAATTATTAATGACAAACAAGCAAATGTTGAACAGCTTCTGTGTGGGTATTGTATAAGGGGCCCCATTGTTTCAAAATTCACGAATGTAATGAGAATAATCTCAGTTTTTCATCTTTACTAAATATTAGTTTTTATATTCCCCAATTAACTAGTAAGTCATTTTTTGGTAATATATTACTTTTTTAAAGCTGTATATGCCAATGTGATGTAGTATGATTCGTATATGTCGTTGTCGACTAATGTCGGCTAGAGCATATTCTCACTTGTTTACCCATATATAATTTTGAATTATTAAGTTATTGTGTTTTGGAAAGCTAAAGCTTAAGTCTAGCAAACACTATTTTATTATATTGCAATTCATACATTTGTATATTTTATTCAATACTTTCAGGTAGTTGAGCTAAATTCCGAGTTGCTACAGAACATGATGTCCTCATTGTTAAACAATGTATTAGCTGAAGATTGTCGAAATCAATGGTCCATGTCTCGTCCATTATTGGTACTTATATTACTCTACGAAGACTATTATCGGTAAGGAAAACTTAGTCTTTTTCTTGTGGTTGACGTATGCAAACGTATTTTCTGCACCGTCTGTCAAGTTATTACTATGACCAGTGCGTTGGATAGTGTTATTGCTCACTGACAAGAAAAAGCCTCTTTCTTGGAACCAGGAGTTATCCCGCATTATTAACCCTAATGGTAGAGCCCTTCAATGTGCTCGAGCTGATCCATATCATTCATGTTCCTGCATCCAAGTCTCAAAATTTCCGCCACAAAACCTATTTGACTACAGGACTCTTTTCCAAGCATCTTTGCTGTTGCACATTTGCTCTACTATACACTCTACTATAAACACTTTTATTAACTGCGCAAAACAACTAATTTCATAAAAATGTGTTATTTGATAATAATAGAGTTTAACAACGATTTTGTTTTAGATCATTGAAAGAAAGCATTATACGTGGACAACCCGTTGAAAAGCAGCAGACAATGGCCCAGTGGTTTGAAGATTTGATGCTTGGTATTGGGCGCAATGTGTCTAGTAAAAATAAAGAAAAGTAAGAAGCGGAAGATAAATTTGTGTTTAATAATATTTGATTATTTTTTTATTTTGAACACTATTAAAAAATCAGCTTACCACCTCTCCTCTGTCAATTGTTTTGTGCTAACATATTTTTTATTGGTTAAATTGGGTTTTTTAAACTTTTGTCAATTTTAAGCGGTAAAAAATTACTGAAAGTAATCAATTAACGCTTCACTCAAGTACAAAAATGGCAATAACTTTGCATATTTCTCTTCTAATTAAACAGTATCGAAAATTCAATAATTAAAAAGTATCGAAAATTCAATAAATTTGCGTTGCCCTTAAGATTGCTGCGAAATAACCCATTAAGATAATTTAAATAATTGCAAGATCAAGCTATTCATTGCAAATGTTTCCGATTTTATTTTCGAATTTCTATGCGTATATACATATTCTTATGAGTATTTCAATGCGACAGGACGATTTATATTCTTATATTTGAATATTATTAAATTGAGTTAACTTAGCTTTTAGCTTGCGATTACAAAATAGAAGAGGGTAATGTGCGAATAATACGGTAGTGATACTTGGTAGTGACACTTGGATACTGGTCCAAGCAGTCTATATTCATAGGGAATATAAGTCCCACACGTACGGCTTACTCAAAAAGGTCAAAATATATTTGATTCCCAAGCTGGAGCTTATAAGACTTAACGTGTCCATACATTAGTCGATTTCGGGGAAATACTTGAATATTAAGAATGTTTTTTTAATTCATAGGTTTACACAGAATTTATCGACATTTCGCAGAGATGTAGCTAACCTACCAAAATCGACAACGTATTCAACAGGTATGTATAGAAGATGAATTAAAGAAAATTCAGTTTACACTAGAAATGAACAGAAAATATATATTCCCCAACGGTTATGTGTAAGTAGGAACAACAACAAAATCGATTGTCCCATGGCTGTCATTATAAACACTTTGATCTCAAAGACCAAAAGTGTTAGGGACTAAATCGGATTTTTAATTTTTAAGAATTTAGCCATATATATTTATTTAATTTTTACACACATTCGAATACCATATTTATATTCAAAAATGTTTGTTATTGGATTTCATATGTATATAAAATTAAAACTATAATATATTTTTATTATCGGGTTCCTGACTTGTCAGTTGAATCGAATCGAATATTTATGTTAAAAATTATATACGCATTACATGTGCGTATTATTATTTAGCAACAGGCTAAATTTATAGTTAGGGATCTGTCTATCCATATAAATACCATATACATTTATACACATTGTCTTGTCTGCCACAAATTTTTTGTCTGCAATAATCATTTAAAAAAAAAATAGTATAAAATTAAGGGCAATTTTGCACATACAGGCAAAAAGGGCCAAAGAGAGGTAAATTATGGAAGTTGGAACATAGATGGTAAGGTGCAAGTGGTTAGAAAACAAAGCTGACACATACATTAACGTAATTCATCGTGTTGCACCCTTCGCACCTCGTTAAAATAGCTTAATAATATTTGTATTGAAGCCCTGCAACCTTTCAATGTTGCCGATGCTAAGCCATTTAAATTATGAATAGGTTAAATGACTGTAAATATAAAAAGCAGCAGTTGGAGTGGTGTGAATGGCACATTCATTCACGCTATTTATCGTGTGGCACCCCTCGCACCTAGTTAAGATAGTTGTTCAGCCATGAACATACAGCATATTCAAGAAACGCACTTAACTACTTGAAGGGAGTGCAATAGGAATAGCACAAATTAAATGCTTAGATTCTAAAATTAGACATATGAACGCACTCAGCGCAGTCAGCGAAGTCAGCACTTGATAAGCTAAATTTAAGAGATGAAATACGCTTACATCAGAGTATAAGAACTCTAGCTCAGACGAATAAAGATTATTACACAACTGAACGCCAGCACAGTCAAGTGTATTCATATTGGTCCTTCGAGTACAATATACAAGGCTACGTTTTGTGATAAGTGTAAAAGTGAAGTGAAAAATTGTTTAAATAATTTTCTTTGGCTTACCAATTTAAGTTTTGAGTAGAGGCACAACACGATCAGCCAGGCGATCAAAACAAAAACACCTCCAATGGGTCAAGCCAAAGACTAAATCAAAAACAAATTTTCACAGAAAACAACACAAACAAAATGCTGTCGGCAAAAACTCTTGAGTTGCTAATAAAGCAATCAGAGATCTATGACAAGATCTGGCAGAGCATCACGAAGAAGGATGCGTTATCAGACATTGATAAATTGGCATAAGAGTTTACTGCCAATCATCTAATGCTGGTCAAAATCGGTGTCATTGATCATCAATATTTTAGGGATAAAATATATGATGGCGTAATGGAAAACATCAGGAACTACGAGGAGTCTCTGATAAAAGTCGAAGTTGCCGACCACGCCATAGACACCGACGAAACAGCATCCATCCAACCGAAGACATCCAAGGCACAACATTGGCAGCTCGAAATTTTAATACTACTTATATATTTTCTTAATTAATTTTTTTAACTTATATTTGTAACTAGTTTTTGATTAGATTCGCTGTTTTTTTCTTAATTTTTTATTAATATAATTAAATATAAGTTAATTTTAAATTCTAAGAAGCAACAAGGAAAATAGTAATAGGAATATCATAAGAAACAAAATCAAATATAAGCTTAGTGTACCGAACTTGTAGCTGCGCAGTGTAACCTGAAACAAAAAAAAAATAAGAAACAGTAAAACACAAACGCGCTGCAAAAATTCGCCGACTAGTTTTTAACCTCGATTTAAATATTCCACTTGCACTTATATATATATTTTTTTTAAATTTACCTTAACTTAATCACTAATTTTCTTTCTCTTACAAAATTATTGTTAGTGCGTGCTCCATCTTCGATGATGCCGAATTAATCCCTTTTGGTATCCCCTACTCGCGATTCGGCTGTTCATACGTTATTCCAAGATGTGCTCTGCTAACGGATCATACAAAGCGTGAGCTCACGTTGCGGAAAATGCTGCGATCTGGTTTTAACCTTTTCGAGTCAATTAATGATTACACGCACTTAGAATCTTTTTGTTCTGTCGTGGTTAATCGTGGTCGATTCGCGTACTTAGATGACTTTTTGCACTATCGTATTCGCGATCGATCCTTGCTCGGGCACCAGTTAAAATAAAAGATCCTGAGATTTATTTTTACATGTGATCAGGCTGATCCCAGGTTTGTAACTGCTTTATTCTTAAGATGATAGATAGCTAAGGTCCGAGTTGATGGCGGCAGCACTGCTGTATTGTAGCTGTTCTTGAGCGCAGCGAGAATTGTATAACAACTTTGTTGTTAATTTGTATTACGCTTTATAGAAAAACTACGAGGAATAAAGGTGCACTCAACATACCTTACTGTCGACGAATTTAAGAAGGCCAAAATGGTCGTTGTAAAAGTATAACAGCTTGATTTTGTACATGAAATTCGATTACTCAACGCTGGAAAGCCTCTGGATGAAAAGAGTAAATTGCAGGCACTCAAGCCCTTTTTATATGGAGAAGGAGTGTTACGTAAGGGAGGCCGTCTTCAAAATGCAATGTTGCCATACAACGTGAAACACCCCATCATAGTTGGAAAATCACAGTTTGTTTGAGTGGTAATAAACAACACTCACAAAGAAACCCTAAACGGCGTTCTAAAACTGATGAGAAAAAACTGGCTTCCATGGACTACACAATAGATGCAAACTACTCTCTATGGAAATGCACAAAATCGCTCAAAGGACAACCATTTAGACAGGTACCTGTCCGATGCCCCAGTGGCGAACTTGCTAAATGCGAATTGGAACAGGCTAACGCATTCGGATACCATCTAGAGGATCGTTTTACTCCGTTTAATTATGCTACGATTGAGCAGACCATGGAAACATATCTCAATTTGGAGACCCCATTGCAGATGTCCCTGCCTATTCAGCCTATAAGCATCGAAGAAATAACTGAAGCGATCCAACTATTGCCGAACATCAAAGCTCCTGGAATAGACAAGATTTGCAATGCTATGCAGAAGGCTTTGCCTACTAGAGCGCTGCTTTATATTAAACTAATTTTTAATGCCATCATCAGGCTCCAAGTGTTCCCAAGGCAATGGAAATGCGATCTTAAATCTAATATCTTACCGGATCACCAATTTGGAGTTCGGGAGAGACACGGCACAGTGGAACAAGTCCACTGATAGGTGAAACGCATCCTGCAGGCTTTTGGTGACTCAGAATACTCTAACGCTGTCTTTATTGACATGCAGCAAGCGTTTGACAAGGTGTGGTACGATGGATTGCTGTACAAAATAAAAAACCTTCTACCTGCCCCGTACTATGGCCTCTTAAAATCTTATCTAGAAGACCGTGAGTTTAAAGTCAAGGTAAAGGATATACTTTTGTCCACATATTCTATGAGAGCAGATGTGCCGCAGGGCAGTGTTCTTGGTCTCGCTGATTGGTGCATACGATGGAATCTAAAAGTCAACCCGCTGCCAATGCATACTCCCCCAATCCATCTGGCGGGAATAACACTACAGCAACCAGCACAGGCGAAATATCTTGGAATCACACTGGACAGGTGTCTCACCTTTGGGCCGCACCTCAAAGCTGCGGTGAAAAAATGTCGTCACAGACTGCAACAACTGCGATGGCTCAACAATAAAAGGAGCACCTTGCCACTGAGATGCAAAAGAGCTGTCTACGTGCAGTGTATCCTACCGATATGGCTCTATGGAGTGCAAATCTGGGGAATTGCTGCCAAATCCAATTACAAGCGGGTTCAGGTATTGCAGAACCGAGTACTACGACATATAACCAACCCTCCCTGGTATATACGCGGCTCAATACTCCACAGAGACCTCAAGCGAAGAGCAGATTGGAAGACACACAAGCAGCCTACTTACAAGAGGTCTAATCTCTGTCAGACCCCTAAGACGACTTAAACGGCAAGGCTTTGCCGCTTTCTTTTAATTCATCATTACTCATGGCATATGTCGCATTATATATATTATAGTATTAGTATTTGCAGGACGTTGTAATATGAAATTATGCCTCTTTTCTTAAATCCTAACATGATATAACACAGAATTATTTTTTTAAACTGAGAATACTCAGCTTACGAAACGGGCAAACTTGCTACACTATCTGAAGTAATCGACGATATTATATATAAAAGTTCAAGCTGTGGCGAAGTAGGGAAAGGGGCATGTTGATGTTTAAAGTGCTAGAAATTTAAAATTTGAAATATATATAAGCGTTGGCAACACTAGATCAGAACAGTTGAGATAGATCTAGTCGGCGATACTCTGAACACTGACCAATTAGTGTTTTTAAATAAATTCCAACATCGCATAAGCTTATAAACAAATTTCGACTAAAATAAGAGAACAACAGTCAGTGAGTAGCAAATCTGAACTCAACTGCTGCTTCGATAAGTACACACATATGGAATGTATTTAGCATTAATATGTATGCATTACAGTTTTCCGGTTGCTCGGGCACCAGTTAAAATAAAAGATCCTGAGATTTATTTTTACATGTGATCAGGCTGATCCCAGGTTTGTAACTGCTTTATTCTTAAGATGATAGATAGCTAAGGTCCGAGTTGATGGCGGCAGCACTGCTGTATTGTAGCTGTTCTTGAGCGCAGCGAGAATTGTATAACAACTTTGTTGTTAATTTGTATTACGCTTTATAGAAAAACTACGAGGAATAAAGGTGCACTCAACATACCTTACTGTCGACGAATTTAAGAAGGCCAAAATGGTCGTTGTAAAAGTATAACAGCTTGATTTTGTACATGAAATTCGATCACTCAACGCTGGAAAGCCTCTGGATGAAAAGAGTAAATTGCAGGCACTCAAGCCCTTTTTATATGGAGAAGGAGTGTTACGTAAGGGAGGCCGTCTTCAAAATGCAATGTTGCCATACAACGTGAAACACCCCATCATAGTTGGAAATCACAGTTTGTTTGAGTGGTAATAAACAACACTCACAAAGAAACCCTAAACGGCGTTCTAAAACTGATGAGAAAAGGAGAAACCAGAGGCAGCAATTGCTAGCTGTCACATTTTCTGGTCCCGCAGAATGTTCAGGCATAAACATACGACATATTTAAGAATTCTAAGCATGCCGTCTACGCACTCAATGACTAGCAGGGAGTGCAATGGGAATAGATCAAATTACATGTTTAGAATCTAAAATTAGACATACCAACGTTGAGTCTTACACACTCAGCACTTGATAAACTAGTTTTAATGGGTGAAATACGCATGAGTCAGATTATAATAACTCTAGCTCAAACGAATAAAGATCATTACATAACTGAACAACACGACAATCAAGTATATTTACATTGGTCCTTCGAATATAACCTACAAGGCTATGTTTTGTGTTAAGACTAAAATTGAAATTATAAATTGTTTAAATAATTTTCTTTGGATTACCAATTAAAGCTGTGAGTATAGGCACAGCACAATTAACCAGGCATTCAAAAAAAAAACGCCTCCAACGCCCAAAGCCAAAAATTAAACTAAGAACAAATGTACAGAAACAACACAAACAAAATGATGCCGGCAAAAACTCTTGAGTTGCTCAAAAAGTAATCACAGATCTATGACAAGATCCGAAAGAGCATCACGAACAAGGATGCTTTATCAGTCATTGCTAAATTGCCAGAAAAGTTCACTACCAATCACCTAACGCGTATCAAAATCGGTGTCGTTGACCATCAATATTTTAGGGAGAAAATATATGATGGCATAATGGAAACCATCAGGAAAGTCGAAGTTGCCGAACCAAAGACATCCGGGGCAAAGCACAAGCAGCAGGAAATAATATTTTCCCAAAGAAGCTCGTGCCCAATGGATGTGATTGTAGACCTTGTGGACAGACGAGCTCTCAACACATGCAAGAAGTGTGTGCGAATCTGGAGCTCAGCAACAAGGAAGAAATCCGTGACTATAAAGACCAGTTGATTTTACTGTGGAACAAAGTCCAGCCAACGCTCACGGACTTAGAGACGAAATATGAGAAATTTGCTCTTGAGATGGAAAAGCTGGAATGCAATGTCACAAGAAATCACAAGAAATACTCACAAGAAATCGAAGCATAAGAGTGGGTGACTTGCAAAATACAAAAGAAGATGCTCCAGAGCTACCGAAAGTGAATCTTCCGCACTTTAATTTAAGTCCCAACTTTCTTCGAACTATTCTCCGAGCTGATTCACAACAGGAAAGATATCAGCGACAGGAAGCTGAGCTACCTAAAATCATGCCTCAAAGGAGAAGCCAAAATGGTCATAGGCCATTTATTAATTGGCTCGTCTAGCTACAATTCAGCGTGAGAACTTATATTCAAGCGCTACGAAAATAAGCGCAAAATATTTGCTATTTGAGAACAACAGTCAGTGAGTAGCAAATCTGAACTCAACTGCTGCTTCGACAAGTACACACATATGGAATGTATTTAGCATTAATATGTATGCATTACAGTTTTCCGGTCAATGAATAGAAAAATTATTTATCAACGTATTTTGATAACATTTTGGAAGCAGATGTACATCGCCGGCGTTAATTGAGTGTGTTTATATGAATATATATGCGCTGAAAAGTATGCAGCATATATAGCCCAAAATCTGACACCCCCAGTAAATAACTTTTCATGTTTTATAAATGATTTATTGTCTCTGCATTTATATAACTATTTAACATGGATCTTCTTTTTTATGTAGCGGATGATTAAGCAAACCTATTGCTTAAGGATTAAATTGCAAATTGCTGCTTTTTCCGTCTGCCATCACAAATTTCAAAGTGTTCTAATTATTAATGACAAACAAGCAAATGTTGAACAGCTTCTGTGTGGGTATTGTATAAGGGGCCCCATTGTTTCAAAATTCACGAATGTAATGAGAATAATCTCAGTTTTTCATCTTTACTAAACATTAGTTTTTATATTCCCCAATTAACTAGTAAGTCATTTTTTGGTAATATATTACTTTTTTAAAGCTGTATATGCCAATGTGATGTAGTATGATTCGTATATGTCGTTGTCGACTAATGTCGGCTAGAGCATATTCTCACTTGTTTACCCATATATAATTTTGAATTATTAAGTTATTGTGTTTTGGAAAGCTAAAGCTTAAGTCTAGCAAACACTATTTTATTATATTGCAATTCATACATTTGTATATTTTATTCAATACTTTCAGGTAGTTGAGCTAAATTCCGAGTTGCTACAGAACATGATGTCCTCATTGTTAAACAATGTATTAGCTGAAGATTGTCGAAATCAATGGTCCATGTCTCGTCCATTATTGGTACTTATATTACTCTACGAAGACTATTATCGGTAAGGAAAACTTAGTCTTTTTCTTGTGGTTGACGTATGCAAACGTATTTTCTGCACCGTCTGTCAAGTTATTACTATGACCAGTGCGTTGGATAGTGTTATTGCTCACTGACAAGAAAAAGCCTCTTTCTTGGAACCAGGAGTTATCCCGCATTATTAACCCTAATGGTAGAGCCCTTCAATGTGCTCGAGCTGATCCATATCATTCATGTTCCTGCATCCAAGTCTCAAAATTTCCGCCACAAAACCTATTTGACTACAGGACTCTTTTCCAAGCATCTTTGCTGTTGCACATTTGCTCTACTATACACTGTACTATAAACACTTTTATTAATTCCGCAAAACAACTAATTTCATAAAAATGTGTTATTTGATAATAATAGAGTTTAACAACGATTTTGTTTTAGATCATTGAAAGAAAGCATTATACGTGGACAACCCGTTGAAAAGCAGCAGACAATGGCCCAGTGGTTTGAAGATTTGATGCTTGGTATTGGGCGCAATGTGTCTAGTAAAAATAAAGAAAAGTAAGAAGCGGAAGATAAATTTGTGTTTAATAATATTTGATTATTTTTTTATTTTGAACACTATTAAAAAATCAGCTTACCACCTCTCCTCTGTCAATTGTTTTGTGCTAACATATTTTTTATTGGTTAAATTGGGTTTTTTAAACTTTTGTCAATTTTAAGCGGTAAAAAATTACTGAAAGTAATCAATTAACGCTTCACTCAAGTACAAAAATGGCAATAACTTTGCATATTTCTCTTCTAATTAAACAGTATCGAAAATTCAATAATTAAAAAGTATCGAAAATTCAATAAATTTGCGTTGCCCTTAAGATTGCTGCGAAATAACCCATTAAGATAATTTAAATAATTGCAAGATCAAGCTATTCATTGCAAATGTTTCCGATTTTATTTTCGAATTTCTATGCGTATATACATATTCTTATGAGTATTTCAATGCGACAGGACGATTTATATTCTTATATTTGAATATTATTAAATTGAGTTAACTTAGCTTTTAGCTTGCGATTACAAAATAGAAGAGGGTAATGTGCGAATAATACGGTAGTGATACTTGGTAGTGACACTTGGATACTGGTCCAAGCAGTCTATATTCATAGGGAATATAAGTCCCACACGTACGGCTTACTCAAAAAGGTCAAAATATATTTGATTCCCAAGCTGGAGCTTATAAGACTTAACGTGTCCATACATTAGTCGATTTCGGGGAAATACTTGAATATTAAGAATGTTTTTTTAATTCATAGGTTTACACAGAATTTATCGACATTTCGCAGAGATGTAGCTAACCTACCAAAATCGACAACGTATTCAACAGGTATGTATAGAAGATGAATTAAAGAAAATTCAGTTTACACTAGAAATGAACAGAAAATATATATTCCCCAACGGTTATGTGTAAGTAGGAACAACAACAAAATCGATTGTCCCATGGCTGTCATTATAAACACTTTGATCTCAAAGACCAAAAGTGTTAGGGACTAAATCGGATTTTTAATTTTTAAGAATTTAGCCATATATATTTATTTAATTTTTACACACATTCGAATACCATATTTATATTCAAAAATGTTTGTTATTGGATTTCATATGTATATAAAATTAAAACTATAATATATTTTTATTATCGGGTTCCTGACTTGTCAGTTGAATCGAATCGAATATTTATGTTAAAAATTATATACGCATTACATGTGCGTATTATTATTTAGCAACAGGCTAAATTTATAGTTAGGGATCTGTCTATCCATATAAATACCATATACATTTATACACATTGTCTTGTCTGCCACAAATTTTTTGTCTGCAATAATCATTTAAAAAAAAAAATAGTATAAAATTAAGGGCAATTTTGCACATACAGGCAAAAAGGGCCAAAGAGAGGTAAATTATGGAAGTTGGAACATAGATGGTAAGGTGCAAGTGGTTAGAAAACAAAGCTGACACATACATTAACGTAATTCATCGTGTTGCACCCTTCGCACCTCGTTAAAATAGCTTAATAATATTTGTATTGAAGCCCTGCAACCTTTCAATGTTGCCGATGCTAAGCCATTTAAATTATGAATAGGTTAAATGACTGTAAATATAAAAAGCAGCAGTTGGAGTGGTGTGAATGGCACATTCATTCACGCTATTTATCGTGTGGCACCCCTCGCACCTAGTTAAGATAGTTGTTCAGCCATGAACATACAGCATATTCAAGAAACGCACTTAACTACTTGAAGGGAGTGCAATAGGAATAGCACAAATTAAATGCTTAGATTCTAAAATTAGACATATGAACGCACTCAGCGCAGTCAGCGAAGTCAGCACTTGATAAGCTAAATTTAAGAGATGAAATACGCTTACATCAGTGTATAAGAACTCTACCTCAGACGAATAAAGATTATTACACAACTGAACGCCAGCACAGTCAAGTGTATTCATATTGGTCCTTCGAGTACAATATACAAGGCTACGTTTTGTGATAAGTGTAAAAGTGAAGTGAAAAATTGTTTAAATAATTTTCTTTGGCTTACCAATTTAAGTTTTGAGTAGAGGCACAACACGATCAGCCAGGCGATCAAAACAAAAACACCTCCAATGGGTCAAGCCAAAGACTAAATCAAAAACAAATTTTCACAGAAAACAACACAAACAAAATGCTGTCGGCAAAAACTCTTGAGTTGCTAATAAAGCAATCAGAGATCTATGACAAGATCTGGCAGAGCATCACGAAGAAGGATGCGTTATCAGACATTGATAAATTGGCATAAGAGTTTACTGCCAATCATCTAATGCTGGTCAAAATCGGTGTCATTGATCATCAATATTTTAGGGATAAAATATATGATGGCGTAATGGAAAACATCAGGAACTACGAGGAGTCTCTGATAAAAGTCGAAGTTGCCGACCACGCCATAGACACCGACGAAACAGCATCCATCCAACCGAAGACATCCAAGGCACAACATTGGCAGCTCGAAATTTTAATACTACTTATATATTTTCTTAATTAATTTTTTTAACTTATATTTGTAACTAGTTTTTGATTAGATTCGCTGTTTTTTTCTTAATTTTTTATTAATATAATTAAATATAAGTTAATTTTAAATTCTAAGAAGCAACAAGGAAAATAGTAATAGGAATATCATAAGAAACAAAATCAAATATAAGCTTAGTGTACCGAACTTGTAGCTGCGCAGTGTAACCTGAAACAAAAAAAAAATAAGAAACAGTAAAACACAAACGCGCTGCAAAAATTCGCCGACTAGTTTTTAACCTCGATTTAAATATTCCACTTGCACTTATATATATATTTTTTTTAAATTTACCTTAACTTAATCACTAATTTTCTTTCTCTTACAAAATTATTGTTAGTGCGTGCTCCATCTTCGATGATGCCGAATTAATCCCTTTTGGTATCCCCTACTCGCGATTCGGCTGTTCATACGTTATTCCAAGATGTGCTCTGCTAACGGATCATACAAAGCGTGAGCTCACATTGCGGAAAATGCTGCGATCTGGTTTTAACCTTTTCGAGTCAATTAATGATTACACGCACTTAGAATCTTTTTGTTCTGTCGTGGTTAATCGTGGTCGATTCGCGTACTTAGATGACTTTTTGCACTATCGTATTCGCGATCGATCCTTGCTCGGGCACCAGTTAAAATAAAAGATCCTGAGATTTATTTTTACATGTGATCAGGCTGATCCCAGGTTTGTAACTGCTTTATTCTTAAGATGATAGATAGCTAAGGTCCGAGTTGATGGCGGCAGCACTGCTGTATTGTAGCTGTTCTTGAGCGCAGCGAGAATTGTATAACAACTTTGTTGTTAATTTGTATTACGCTTTATAGAAAAACTACGAGGAATAAAGGTGCACTCAACATACCTTACTGTCGACGAATTTAAGAAGGCCAAAATGGTCGTTGTAAAAGTATAACAGCTTGATTTTGTACATGAAATTCGATTACTCAACGCTGGAAAGCCTCTGGATGAAAAGAGTAAATTGCAGGCACTCAAGCCCTTTTTATATGGAGAAGGAGTGTTACGTAAGGGAGGCCGTCTTCAAAATGCAATGTTGCCATACAACGTGAAACACCCCATCATAGTTGGAAAATCACAGTTTGTTTGAGTGGTAATAAACAACACTCACAAAGAAACCCTAAACGGCGTTCTAAAACTGATGAGAAAAGGAGAAACCAGAGGCAGCAATTGCTAGCTGTCACATTTTCTGGTCCCGCAGAATGTTCAGGCATAAACATACGACATATTTAAGAATTCTAAGCATGCCGTCTACGCACTCAATGACTAGCAGGGAGTGCAATGGGAATAGATCAAATTACATGTTTAGAATCTAAAATTAGACATACCAACGTTGAG